TCCTGTTTTACTATCGTATCCATACGACGTGGGGAACTCTGTGCCACCACTTAACCCTATCCGTATGTTGTGTTTTACTATCGTATCTATACGACGTGGGGAACTCTGTGCCACCACTTTCCAAAGAGGACATTTACTCGTCAATCCGATCCGTACGCTTTGCATAGCAGTCTGTCAAAAGAATTTTTGGAGAAATACTGAAAGTTTCAAAGAGATCTTCGCCCTAGAAGTATTCTAATTTAGGCGAAGAATACAACCCCGGATGACCCCAGGACGTACGAATAGGGTTCACTGATCGCTTTTATTACTTTTAGGGACAAGCGGGCTAACCCAGATTTCGGGGTTTCCAGAAATCTGTTCCTACACCAAAAGAGGGCATTGCCCTACCTGTAGGAGAAGTTTGGTTTCATTGGTTATATATATTTTTTAGTTAATAGAAAACTCTCCTCGGTTTTTAATGAAACTGAAAAGGGGGCAAAAACTTTACCTTCCATTTTCTCAAAATGGCATTTTTCGGGATATCCCACTTGTCCTAAAAAGCGACCAACTAATTTACTAAACCCCAACACCGCAGTTTTGGCAACTGACATGGAATATGGCCCCACAGCCCTTGGTCACGGTGAGTTTCTGAGCGCGCCTGTCCACGAAGTAGCTAAAGCCTTCTATGCAGGGGGAGCCGGAGGTTTGGAATGCGTTGTTCACTTGACAAACGTCTTGGCAGGCAAAGGGGCACTCTGCTGGCATGTAGTTCAGGCTTACGCAGGCCACGCTTAGGACAGTTCCTGGGGGGGGGGGAGAGGGGACATGTTGTAGAGGTTTTTTTGTTTTTTTTTACTGCGATAAAGAAAGAATTTAGAGGAGGAAAGAGGAAGAAAGAGAGGGGAAAGGAAGGTTGAGGAGGGAGAGGGAGGAGGAGAGAGAAAGGAGGAGAGAGGGAGACAGAAAAGGCGGGGGCGCAAGAAAGAGATCGATCAGGGAAGAGGGGGCAGAGAGTGAGAGAGAGAGACAGAGAGTGAGAGAGAGAGACAGAGAGTGAGAGAGAGAGACAGAGAGTGAGAGAGAGAGACAGAGAGTGAGAGAGAGACAGAGAGAAGGAAAAGATAATAGAGACAGAATAATATGTGCTCAAGCTTGCACACACACACACACACACACACACAGACAATAACATATACACACACACAGACAATAACATATACACACACATACACACACACAGACAAGACAGAAAAAAAGACAACCCCAAAAAGCTCCCATTCTGGGGCAGCGTAAAAGAAGACTTGGAGCAGGAGGAAAAGTCTTACGGTACGAGTAAACAGTCTGTCAAGACCATGAGTTTGAAACTGTTCCACTAAAGAGAGAAGTTTTCAAGTTTTTTAACATCCTAACCCTAACCCTATTCCCTAACCCTGATCCATAACACCTAACCCCTAATCTTATTTCTATCCCTAAACCTAGCCCTAACCAAAACACCTCACCCCTAACCTTATCCTTGATCCCTAACCCTAACTGAAACACTTAACCCCTAACCCTTACCCAGACCCTGATCCCTATACCCTAACCCTGATCACTAGCCCTAACCCTAACCCTATCCCTGATCCCTAACAAAATCCCCCAACCCCAGCCATAACCATTTTTTTTTCTTGGTTTTTTTTCTCCTTAGCTGTCTGAAACAAAGTCCAATTTCCGTTTTCTGGCAGTTTTTGTCACAGCTCGCAGGGTTTCGGAAAAATCTTCCGCTTCAGTCCAAAGTTTATAACGGTTGTCCCGAATCCGACGTGTGACAGTTAGTTAGGCACTTCGCTGTCGCACACAAGGGCCCAGAGTTCCATTCTTGAGCAAAACACACACACATAATGAATAGATTTTTGGGTCCAGAAGGATTTTCTGGAGCATATATGGTCGCTTTTCAGGACAAATGGGCCATCCCCAAAAATGCTGTTTTGAGATACCGAAGGTAAAGTTCCTTGTTCAGTTTCATTAAAAAGCAAGGAGAGTTTTCTCTATAACTAAACAAATATTCACACCAATGAAACCAGACTTCTCCTATAGGAAGGGCAAAGCCCACTTTTGGTGTAGGTCAAGATTTCTGGAAACTCCCGAAATCTGCTTTTGCTTTAGTAGAGGTTTTACGGCGCTCGCAACTGCATAAGGTCATATGACTGCCAGAAGATTAGAGGTGTTACAAGAGAGTAACAAACATAAAAAAGAAGGAGGGGAGATAAAGACAATAGATATTTGATAGAAAAGAAGGAGCAAACCACACCAGAGCATCCGCCAACCACCCACCTCCTGAAATCTGGGTTACCCCGCTTGTCCTTAAGAGAAACCATCATATGAGTGACGGCCAGGTGGAGTCAGGCGCTCGTCAATTTTTGGCCATGTGGAGTTATTGGTATAATCTGAAAGCTGATTTATTTGCCTTGCTTTCAATGAAATAAATATCAATCTATCTTGAATAGGACGCAAGATACTTGCGATTGAAGGAAGTGAGGTAGCCTGGTTTCAGTGGTGAAATTAGTAAGAAAATGGCCGTTAAAAGTTTGGTAAATCAATAGCTAAAGTTAAAGAGTCTTTGAAAACAGGACAATGACATATTTTGTGCCTTTAATCAATGTTTTTCAGTAAAAGTCACATGGAAATGTGTTTATATATGGGATATAAGAGGTTGAGCTCAAAAATAAAAATTCGATAAAAATTTTCAAACTGGCGGAAAAATACCTGTTTTTCTAATTTCTGTATTTTGACGAGTGCCTGATTTCACCACGCTGCCTCACAATATATATATATATATATTCTTTGTATCTCTCTGTATATTATTACAAAAAACATGTAGGCTACACACAGCGAAATTCGCACAATATAAGAAAAATATTTTTTTGGTCCAGAATTATTTCTGGGATGTATAAATTAAATATTCTTTGCATTATTACATAACACACGTACATATTGAAATTCGAAAATAACCGAACAAATTTCCTCGTCATACTGATTTCACTATGTACGTGCTAGACTGTATTTTTCGTTTTTGCTTTAGTAAAATTTTACAGTGCTCGCAACTGCATAAGGTCATATGAGCGCCAAGGGGTGGATGTCAACAGAGAAGTCCAAACGGGGAATCTGACTTACTCTGCTCACCTCTCTAGCCTCAACAGCACAAGGTCTGCTTCGACTATCAAGGCATCCTGAAAAATAGCGGGTCACAAGAAAGTGACAAACATACAAAAGAAGTAGAGGATAAATGACGATAGTAAAAGTAAGGATGAGGAAAAAAACCCCAGCAGTTCCCCCTATGTTGTTCGGCACAGTATGAGCATGACATTGGTAAATCAGCTCATTTACAATTCTACAGTGCATAAGAACATGTTAATATCCCCCCTTTCGTACGGTCTACTCACCTAGACTATTTATTTTAGTAAGAGTTTTACAGTACTTGCAACACAATTAGGTTATAAGTGCCGAAAATTTGAGGTGTTATAAGAGAGTAACAAACACAAAATAGAAGGAGGGGAGAAAAATGTAGGTTTTTTTCTGGTTTTATTAAGACATTACACCCTAACTCGCCCGCGAATTCCCTTGCGCTCTCCACCTTGACTCGCCCGGAACCGCCCGCGCCGACCTAGCGTCTTTAGAAACGAAATCTCGCCTTGGCGAGGCGCTGGGGCCGAGATTTTGATTTGTATAGTTATTGCAAAAAGTTTCTTCTTTCGTTTGATACTGAAATGAAATTTTTCGGGGCAGTAGTTTTAGTATTAGAGCCGAACGAAGTGTGATCGCGTTACCGACACTTCGAAAGTGTCTCCACTTGTTGAAAAACGACACAGTTGAGATCGAAAAAGGAAATAACGATGGATTTGAGCCAAAACAAGCACATGGCAAATCAGAAGACTCAGATTTTGATGAAAACGTAGCAAGAGTTTGGGGCGATTCGGATTGATCAGACGTAGAAAATCTAGAATTTAGATCTAGGGCCCGACCGCGAGGCTGAGAGTGAGAGTGACGGGTCGGACACTCCAATTGAACTAAAGTTAGAACATTTCCAAGAGTTTGCGCAGACATAAAGTTATATTTTTCTGAAACTACATTCATTTTGCGTTTTAACTTTTATTTTTTCAGGATTGGATTTTGGAATTTGTTTAGTAGTTTTAAAATGTGTTTTTTAAAGGCTTCTATTCACGTGAGGTGGGTTCCTTCCCCTTGCTTAGGATCTAGGAATGGACTTCCCGTCCAGGCCCTCTGGGTGTCATGTGTTAAGAGTTTTAAGGCACTTGCAACACAATTCTGTTATCTTATAAGTGTCGAAGACTTAAGGTGTTACAAGTACAAGAGAGTTATAAACACAAAATAGAAGGAGGGGGAGATTTATAAGGACGATAGATGTTTGGAAATGGTACGGGCTTATTAACGCCCCTATCAACACACGATAAATAGATAGATAGATAGTTTGCTAGGAAAGAAGAAGCAAACCACACAAGAGCACCCGCCAACCACCCACTCACCTAGACTATACCTCACGGTCGTGGTTCCGACACAGCCATTCCGAGATAACAATTTCCCGCCGCAACGACCAAACGTGTCGCCAAAGTCACAGGACGCAGGACTGGAGGAGTCATCTGAGTCAAGCTTGACATGAAAAAACAAAAAACAATAAATACAAAAACAAAGTAAAACAAAAAATTAAAGTTAAAGACTCTGTTCTTTTAGTTTTAGTAGAGGTTTAGAGGTTTTACGGCGCTCGCAACTGCATAAGGTCATATGAGCGCCAGAAAATTAGAGGTGTTACAAGAGAGTAAGTAACAAACATGAAAAAGAAGAAGGGGAGATAAGGACGATAGATGTTTGATAGGAAAGAAGAAGCAAGAAGCAAACCACACCAGAGCACCCGCCAACGTGTCATTTTTTTTATTTTGGTTTATTGATTGTCCTCATCATCATTGTTATCAATGTTTTGAAAGCAAAGTAGGAGACAGAGTCTTGTTTGAATTTCAAACAAAATAACATATAACAATATAAAATGTTTAAAATTTGTTTATTATACACAGTTCAACCACTACGTTTCGACTCTTGGGCTTCCTCAGGAGCAACTGAGAGAAAAACTAAATGGGCGCTGTATACTAGCAGGGAAGTGGGCCTAACAATCATCATCATCCTTATTATCATCTTCATCCCCACCATCATCATCATCATCATTATAATCCATATTATCATCATTATAATATAATTATCACCATCTATAGACATAATAATACAATACAATACTACTGCATTCTATACTATTCTATAAAAGATGAGCACACTCGTACAGACAGACAACTGACAAACAAACCAGCAAACGGACAAACTCTTAATCCCCCCCCCTCCCCTAAAAAAACCCCAACCTCTAACAATCAACACAAAACAAAAAAACCCCAACAAACAAACAAACAATCCCACCACCATTCATACACAAAAACCCTAACCAAAAAGTAAAAGAGAGGAGAAGTTCTGAGAAGCCAGCCCACGGTGACGGCCAAGACTACAGCTGCTCTGGGCACGTCCTTCAACTCCAATATAAGGAGCAGCTCATGCTGTTCTATCCTATTTCAATTTTATTCTATTTTAATGCTTTTGTATAATATCTTTTATTTTATTCTAATATAATGAATTTAAATCTTTTCTTTTCTATTAAAATTCTTTTCTATTCT